AAATAAAATATTTTTTAATTTAAAAAACAAGGCAATTATAGACATGAAAGATCCATCCAATATATTGTTTACCGCAACAACCTTTAGTAGTGGTAAAATCATGGCAGAGTTTTTATACTTTTAAAATTTAAATTTTAAATTATTTTGATCTTATTAAAACACACCAAAACATTAAAAAAGTCTAAAAAACTTCACTTCCAACCTCAAAAACCCCTGTAATTACTCTAAAATTAAATCAAATTCAAAAAATATTCTCAAAGCCTACTCTATTTTTTTGCCGTATTGTTAAAAAAAACAAAAATCATCTTTATAAAACTTTTCTCTCCAAAATGAATTTATTGATACCAATATCATTTATTTTTATGTTCGGTCTAATTCTTTCCCTCTCCTCATCTTTTTTTTTCCCCAACAATTCCCCCTCTCTTCTCTTATTTTTAGATTAACGTGGGTGTCCGGGCCAGTTTGCGCGCACCACGACTAATCCCACGGGCCCTGAAGTTAACGACCATGTAAGCCTCCAGTGGCCATCATATGAGCAACCAAGGACTCGAACCTGAGACTACAGAGGGAGCAAACCCCTTGATCTCAAGTCCTTACCACTTGACCACCACCTAGATGGTTAGACCACCCCCTCTCTTCTCTTAGAGTCTAAGGATGTGAATGCAAACATGTAAAAGCATAATGAAATGCATGCCCTCATGCCTATTCAATTCCATCTCGTGAGCTTGTTTTGCCCCCAAATCATAGAAGGTCCCCACTTATCTTGCATTAAAAAAGAATCCCATGAACCATATCAAATCATACTAATTGTGAAAGAAATTTTATGGTGTCTTTAATGTGACAAGACATCATCGGTTGCTTCAACATTACCATTCACATATTTATAATCTAATTAATTTTATTTGTTTTAAATCTCAATTCCAAAATAGACATAGTTTAATTCCCTTTTGAATATGAGATTGACCTATTTACTTACCCATTTTATGCAACCTATATATATATATATATGTAAGGATTTCACAGTTAGAATGCACCATAAGATTCTTCGAGGACATGGAAGTTGGTGGATCCATTCTTAATGGGCCGTGTTAGTCCAGCTTAACACTTTTGGAGAAAAGATAAAATAGTTCCCAATAGATAAAAAGAAGTGCGTTTGTCTTCCTAATGGAAAATACATGGGAAAAGTTTTACAATAATTGTAGAATAATGATGATAATATATCTTGGTGATGGAGATAATGGTAGTTGGGGGTGGAAGCAATGGTGAGGTTATGGCAATAGTAAAGTAGTGATGATTTTTTAAAATAATTGGGTGATATTATAAGAAATTTAAAATATATTTTTCAATAAATAAAATAAATTTAAAAGTTGATTATAATTTTTTCTTGTTACCCAATTTTTCTATAAAAATATTTTACAAAAAATTAACCCAAGATAAATTAGAAAAACAAAATTTATAAAAATACCTTATACAAATCAAATTCTTTTTATGCGTAACTTTAAATAAATAAGCATGGACGAGGTTATTTGTTAATGGAATTTTTGAAAAACCATGATGGTAGTAAAATAAGAGTGAGGGATGACATATCCTAGTAATGGTGGTAAATACAATTGGACTGGATGTGATGTTGGTGTATCAATGGCAATGATGAAGGTTGTGGTTAATGTGGAATAGTGATGGTTTTTTTGAAATAGTTAAATGATATAAATGGATAATTATTTGAAAACTATTTTAGAGCTATAGATATTTTTTAAAAAATGAAATTAGTTTAAAAATTGATAATAAAATTTGTAGTTGTTTGATTTTCTTATAAAAATAATTTATAAAAAATAAAAAATTTCTTTCAAATATTTTTTTATCAAATAATTTACTCACAATAAACTCCTTGCAAGCACAACTTTAAATCAATTTACACGAACATGATTATTTATTAAGATGTTTATGAATATAGTGGATCGGGTTTTGATCTATTTTTATATCTAACCCAACTTTTAATATTTTATAAAATATAAATCATCTATATAATTTTTTATGGACCCAAGCGGGTTGAATATACCAGGTTAGACTAAAAATTTTACGGATTACATATATCCTTGAGTTGGACATATTAATTCTCTTTTCTCTTTGGTGATCATAAAAAAAAAATTCATGTTGCAACTATTAAAATTAGATAAGACCCTTAAAATGCATATATTGGGAATAAGATAAAAAATACTATCATAATTTTCATGTAAAAAACAAAATACAGTAAAAATTACAATCGAATATTTTATCAAACATTGAGCATGCAACATAATATAAAGATTGACTTGTAGAAAAAGGCTATAAAATGCTTTTAAGTTTGTGATTTAACTAGAAAAATAGAAGTTCAATCTAGATTTTTGAAGTTTTTATTTGTTTTCTTATGATCTCTTGATTACCAAATATAAAATATTGTAATTATAAAATATATTATCAATTTATCATATCAAACTTTAAAAATAACAACTATCAAACTTTAAAAATAACAACTATCAAACTTTAAAAATAACAACTATCAAACGTGCAACATAGTATAAAGACTGACTTGTAGAAAAAGGTTTTAAGTTTGTGATTTAACTAGAAAAGTAGAAGTTCAATCTAGATTTTTGAAGTTTTTATTTGTTTTCTTATGATCTCTTGATTACCAAATATAAAATATTGTAATTATAAAATATATTATCAATTTATCATATCAAACTTTAAAAATAACAACTATCAAACTTTAAAAATAACAACTATAATTTGTGTAAAAATAAAAATAAAGAAAAGGAAAAGAGATTAAGAGCGTGTCTAAGATTTTGTCCAGTGTTTTTTTTTAAAATATTTTTTTATTTAAAAATACATAAAATAATAATTGTTTTTAAATTTATTTTTTTCATTAACACGTCAAAAAGATCCAAAAACACTAAAAAAAATTAATGTGAAGAAAAAAAATCCAATTTATGTTTCAAAACCATGGTTGAATTATAAAAACAAATATAATCTAAGAAAATGAGAGGTGACCGTAAGTGTGAAGGCAAGAGATAAAAAAAAATAAAAAAATATTATTTATACCAAAAACTTGAGTTACTTACATTGATTTATAATTTTTTATTTTTTTTTCATTAACATGTCAAAAAGATTCAAAAACACTAAAAAAAAATAATGTAAAGAAAAAAATCCAATTTATGTTTCAAAACCATGGTTGAATTATAAAAACAAATATAATCTAAGAAAATGAGAGGTGACCGTAAGTGTGAAGGCAAGAGATAAAAAAAAATAAAAAAATATTATTTATACCAAAAACTTGAGTTACTTACATTGATTTATATGAGTTGAGTCGGGTTGATTGAGTTTTAAAAATTCCAACCTGTACTCCACCTATAATATCTGTTTATTAAATTTTTTAATTTATTATTATTTATAATATCTATATTAAATAAGCTAATTTAGAATTGGTCTAATCTGATTGCCGAGTGTTTTAAGTTAGTGTGATTTATAAAAATTAAATATTATTGGTCAAATAATTAGAAACATTTAAGATATATGAATTTATTATGTTAAAGTATAATGCTCAAGAAAATTAAATTAATTGTGTGAGAATTTATTAAGCAAAGGTTAGGCAAAGCAATTACACATGTGAATGTGCTGTTTTAGACCTTGGGTTATTTTAAAAATTCCAACTTATACTCCACCTATAATATCTATTTATTAAATTTTTTAATTTATTATCATTTATAATATCTATATTAAATAAGCTAATTTAGAATTGGTCTAATCTGATTGCCGAGTGTTTTAAGTTAGTGTGATTTATAAAAATTAAATATTATTGGTCAAATAACTAGAAATATTTAAGATATATGAATTTATTATGTTAAAGTATAATGCTCAAGAAAATTAAATTAATTGTGTGAGAATTTATTAAGCAAAGGTTAGGCAAAGCAATTACACATGTGAATGTGCTGTTTTAGACCTTGGGTTTTCTTAAATTATTGGATTGGATTATAAATTATATACTCAACTATATATTTATACTCGAACCGTTTAAATACCATTCAAATACTAATTACAGGTTATTACCATTAACTATTTGTAACATTAAAAGTTGTAACTCCTGAAAATAGAGAATAAATGGACATAAAATAAAATTTATAAAATTGTATATATGGTGTTCTTAAAATAATTTCATTTTATTTCTTGATTTTTTTATATTAAATGAATAAAATCTAATCCTTTATTTTAAATTCTACAAACAATGCATCTACTCTCATGTCATTCTAATAATATATTTGGAACAGATTTTTACTCACCAACATAGGTAACCAAGCACTCTCCAAACCTAATTTTTTTTCTCACAAGTATTATTTCAATGCCAAACAGGCACTAATAATGACTGGTGTGAAGTATTTGGGCCTTGTAGAAACCCATTAAGAAGCAAGGATATAATAAAGAAATATGGGCTCTTATGAGCAGAGGCCATGTGCCCAATGGACTTAATTAGACATTGTTAACCCATTTTTTGACCGCTCCCCTCTTTAAAAATGGACAGAACTAGCACTTTCAAAGTGAAACCCTAGTCACGAAACGTGACGGCTGGGCGCAGGCTTACACAAGCTTCTCTTCTATCTTAAGGTAATCTCAATTGCTTCCTTTTTGGTTGATGATAACTAGATTCTTTTAGTTGGTAAGCGAAAAAGATTTCATGTAAATGAAACCTGAGTTAATGCTATCTGGTACTACATTTTTGATTCCAGGATTGTTGGCATGGGCACAAACAAAAAGTAGAGAACTTTCATGTTTGTGTTTCAATGGCTGCCTTTCATTGTATTCAAGCTCTAAGATTCCCATCAAGAACCCATGTTTTCTTTCCTGTTGGTGAACAGAACAGATATAATATTATCAACAAGAAGCAAAGGGGTTTTCTAGTTTTTGCTTCTGCTGATAAAAAATCTGATAAAGAGATCTATCTTAAATCAAAGGTACTTCAAAAAGATTTGCTTGTAATGATACGTTTTTAAAGTTTCTTTTATTTTTGGGATTGCCCAAGTTTTTACAACCAGACATAAGTCAGATGTCTACCGTTTTTATTGTGGTAGAGATTGTTACATGTCTGGAAAATTGAAGAGAGAGAAGGAAATATGATTAATGGGGTTCCCACTCGTCATTTAACCCTCTTGAAAGTGTCCATCGTTGCCCAATAACATACATTTGATTGTTATTTGAGCTACATCTGGACACAACATGTCAAATCTTATTTTGCACATATTCGACTGCATGTAATGTGGTAATGTGACCTTGATCTCTTTATCAACAAATAACCTGGAAGTCTGTTTTGTGAATAGAAGAAAATGGCAGACGAAATACCATTTACCAATTTGAACAATGGTGTCTTTGTGCTGATAGTATATGCAAATCGATGTGTCTTTACTTTTCCATTTGCGTTTTTGGTGATATATGCAATGGATTTACATAACTTACGCAATTTTAAATGGTTTATATATATCAACTTTGCTGGCAATGAAGAACCATAGTCGAAGCTCACGTGGTTTTCCCCTTGTATTTCCTTATAACTTTTGGTTTCTTTAAAAACTATGATGATGATCCGGCTTAAATGTTGCTGTTTTGGCATTTTGGTTTAATGGCTGGTTCAATTTGTCTGTGAAGATGATTTCCACCCAATGAACGTACCATTTTGGTTTTTCTTATGAAGTCTTTTGCAAGAGGCTGTGCATCGTAAACAAATCGAGTCATGCATTCATTTCTCTTTTATTAGCTCTATATGAAATCAGACATAAGTCAGATGTCTACCGTGTTTATTGTGGGAGAGATTGTTACATGTCTGGAAAAATGAAGAGAGAGAAGGAAATTTGACTAATGGGTTTCCCACTTGTCATTCAACCCTCTTGAAAGTGTCTATCGTTGCCCAATAACATACATTTGATTGTTATTTGAGCTACATCTGGATTCTACATTTCAAATTTTAGATTGCACGTATTTGGTTTCTTATATTCTGGGAATGTAATGGCCTTTTTGTCTTTTATAAACATCAAACAAGGGCCATGGTTTTAAGGTTGTTCTGGCATTTTGATTTTAATAGCTACTTTAGATTATATGAACATGATTTCCAGCCAACAGGTTTTATTTCTTGTTTCTTTTTCGAGAGATTGCAGTCTTAATAATTTGAGCTGTTCTGTTATTCCCACCCGTGTCTAATCTGAACCATGAGGAAATCTGATCCTTTGTCGAACTGAACTGTTAATCTGCTTTGTGCTCATTGATTGTTTAAATATACGACAAATTATTTATTTATTTGTATAAATCTATGTCCGACTTTCCTATATAAACACTTGGAAATAGAGACATCTAATTGTCTGATTTTAGGTCGAGACATTGTTAGACAGTGTAAAATGGGACGACAAAGGTTTGGCAGTTGGAATAGCTCAAAATGTTGACACGGGGGCAATATTAATGCAAGGCTTTGTGAACAGGGATGCATTAGCTACAACAATTTCCTCTCAGAAGGCAACATTTTATAGCAGGTCACGTTCAGCTTTGTGGACGAAGGGAGAAACATCGAAGAATTTTATAAATGTTCATGACATCTATCTTGATTGTGACCGTGACTCTGTATGTTAATCCTGTAGTTGGAATACATTAACTGTCATCATTTATTGTGCTTGGAATTGATATAAATGGGTTCTTTTGCAGATAATTTACCTTGGGAAGCCGGATGGACCTACCTGCCACACAGGGTCAGAAACTTGCTATTACACATCAGTCCCAGACTTGTTAGAAAATAAACAGGTGACTATATATCTAATCACTTGTATTTTATTTTATTTATGAATGATGTCACTGTTTATTTTATTTCTATATTTATTAAGTTTTGATCATTGATGGCAGGTTGATGGAAATAAACTGGCATTGACAACTCTGTACTCTTTGGAAACAACAATTTCCCAGCGCAAAGCTGAATTAGCATTGCCACAAGCTGGAAAACCATCATGGACTCAACGATTACTACTTGATCATGACTTACTCTGCTTAAAAATCAGGTACTTAGCTTTATTTGAATTGATATGCAAGAGTTCGTATCCTCCTGCTCTTGAGAAAGCTTCATATAGATCGCAGAACTATTAAGAACATCAAATTTCAGGGAGCTGTTGCATCCTCTACTTTGTTAATTGGTTGTCCAGTTTATTTCACTACTATTGGAATTGACCGATGAATTGTGCCGAGCATTAAGGTCAAGATTTCTGTTGATGTCTTCAGATTTAGATCTTACTGTCCTGTATTTTGCTTTATAGGGAAGAGGCAGATGAATTATGCCGAACACTAGAGGACAATGAGGACCAAGCACGTACTGCCTCTGAAATGGGGGATGTACTTTATCATGCCATGGTTCTAATGGCAGTTAAAGGTGTAAAAATAGAAGAGGTGCTAGAAGTTCTACGGAAGAGATTTTTTAAGTCAGGTATCGAGGAAAAGAGAAGTCGTGGGCAGGCAAGCTAGGCGTGATAACCGGTGTTCATGGGTTTGTGGTCTTGGCTTCGGAATCTGTTGTCACGTTTTGTAACCCGAGCTGTTTAAATGATTTGCAAAATCTTTGCATTGGCCAATTTTTGCAATTATTTCCCTTGTAATCATTTGAGAAAGATAAATCGATAACCGGTGTTTATGGGTTTGTGCTGTTTGTGGTCTTGGCTTCGGAATCTGTTGTCACGTTTTGTAACCCGAGCTGTTTAAATGATTTGCAAAATCTTTGCATTGGCCAATTTTTGCAATTATTTCCCTTGTAATCATTTGAGAAAGATAAATAAGAGCACCATCTTGATGATCTGCAGTCTACAGTCTGGTTTTGTATATGTAGGCTTCGCTTCCCAAATCCTGGGGTTTTACATTATTTTTATTGCCGCATTAACTTACAGCAGTCATTCATTCACTTCATTTTCATCTAGATCTCCGGAGATTTTAGTCTTCGTTCCGGTTATTGATATTTTTGGAAGTTGATCTTCTTACATGTATACAAGATATATCATGTATGTCAAGTACAAAAGATCAATGTAAATAATCAAGAACTCAAGACAAGTAGAAAGAATAACTTAACATGGAAAAAACCGTGTCTGGCTTCCTCATTCCAAAAAGCTAAATTAATAAAATGACTTTTTAAATAGTATAAATATAACTTTTTTGATTATATACATTTTAATGGTAAAAAATTATTAAGGAAAGCTATTTATATTTTAATATATTTCATGTTAAATTAATTTTAATATAATTATATAACTAATTTATATATTTTACATATAATATAATTTTGATGTTATTAATTATATAATTAATATAAGTAATTTATAAAAGTGGACCATTGATTGTGCATTGAAAATAAGAAAAATGAGTAATAAATTTTAAATATCACTTTATATTTTTATCAATATCAATTAACATTTTTTTTTTTAATTTTGTTAAAGATAACAACATGAATAAAAAATTATTTTTCTTAATCCATAACAAAAATATAAAATAACAAATTGTTTTCCTTGCTTTTAAAGAGAAAAATACTATTGACCAATGACTATAAAAATAGCTGCTGACAATGTTAATTTTTTTTTTTTTTTGGCTATTTCTATATTAACATGTAGAAATAGCTCTTCCCAAATTAAACAACCATTTTGACTTTTCTTTTGCCTGCTACGTTGGAGTGACAAATAAAAGAAACAAAAGCTAAAATAACATATTTTTAACTTTGCCTCCTTATTTGCCTCTCCGGTTGGAGATGCTCTTATAGCAAAAATAGTGCATTATATCTCATCTCAACTAATGTTTCCCTCCCCTGAACTAATTACTATGTCAATAATTAGTTTACTCCAGGCATCACACAAACTCGGAGCTGTTCTTGAAGTTTTAAAAATACCTCCTACTTAAATGGTTTAGGTAGTACCTGATCTTTAGAACCACAATGCACGAGATCAACAAAACTATCTCGAGTTAGATCATGCAAAAAATCAAAATACACATCAATGTATACTGTGTCCATGCATAACATAATTTTTTGAGAGCTTGATAGTTAAACTATTATCATACATCACTGTAGTGCAACCATATTATGCATGATTGAGAATTTGTTGTATTATCATACATCACTGCTTGAGAATCCTTCTCGTCCACACATCGTGTGCATGATTCAACTACTTCAGAATCCTTCTCATCCACACTGCTTGGCAAGAACAGGTTGCGACTGCAACAAATTTAGCTTTATTTGTTGAAAGAGTGACTATAAGCTGTTTCTTTGAGGACTAAGAAACTACTCCTCCTCTTAGCATAAGCTCTTTTTATTCTCTAAGTTTCCTGCATAATCACTATTAATGAATACAATTAACTATTTGTTCCTATCTTTCTTATAAAATATTTCATAATCAATAGTGCTCTTTAGTGTCTAAGTGCTCTTTCTGCATCTTGTAAGTGAATTTTTGTTGGTTTAGCTATAAACCTGCTAATAAAGCTCACAACAAATATCATATCTAACCTTATAGCAATGCTAAGATTGCCTATTATTTGTTCATAATAAGTCTCATCAATTTTGTTACTTCTCTATATTTTCTAATTTTGAAACCAAGAACAATAGGATTCATCACTACATTGCTTTCTTCCATTCCAAAGCATCTCAGAACCTCCTGTACATATTTTATTTGATAGATATAAATCCCATTATCCTTCTATAACACTTTTATACCTAAGAAAAACCTCATCTTTCCTAGATCAATCATATCGAATACCTTTATCATTGATTTCTTAAACTCTAACATCACTTGCCCATCATCCCCAGTAAAAATCAAGTCATTGACATAAATGTTTACAATTAAGATTTTATCTTTACTGATTTGTTTGATAAACAAGGTTTGCTCATTGATGCATTTCTAGAACACTTCATGAGTACAGTGAGCTTTAATGTGACTAAACCAAGCTCGAGGAGCTTGTTTTAGTCCATACAAGGCCTTATACAGTTTGTAAAATTTGTGCCCACCTTCCTTTTGCTTATAGCTTTTTGGTTGCTCCATAAACACTTCCTCACTTAATTCTCCATGGAGGAAAGTAAATTTAACTTCTAGTTAATAGATGAGCCAATTTCTCTGAGTAGTTAAAGCAATGATCATGCAAATAGTATCCATTCTTGTAATTGGAGCAAATAACTCTATGTAATCCAAACTATATTGTTAAGTATAACCCTTTGCAACTAATAGGGCCTTGAACTTATCCACCTCACCAAACTCATTAAGCTTGGTTTTGTATGTCTATTTTACTATAATCTTCTTAGCTCCTATTGGTGATTTAGTCAAACTCCATGTTTTATTTTTTTGAATTGAATGTATTTTAGCATTCATAGCTTCCCTCCACTTGTAACTTTTCATTGCCTCTTCATAGCTTAATAGATCAGATGAAGTTACAAGTGTCAAATTCAGCTTAGTTTCTTCCTCTGATAGTCCTTCTCCAAAAACATAGTCTCTCATCTAAATATGATAAATTATTTCTTTTCTTTCATGCAGATTGACATCTTCTTCATATATTATGCTCGAAGAAATATTTCCTGAGCCTTTAATATCATGCCTATTTGGCTCTGCACTTAAGCCTTCAGTATCATCATTTGTCTTTGCAATCTTAATAACTATTTGTCTTATTTTCATTAGTTTCACTTTCTTACCCCCGTTCTAAGTCCATTTATAACTGCTTTGTGTAACTTATATCCCACTCCCAATGTTTCTCCTCTTAAAAAAATATGTCCTTACTAATTAAAATTTTCTTTGCAAAAAGATTATACAACCTGTAACCTTTGGATTCTTCACTTACTCCTAGTAGTACACAACAAAAGCTTTTGTTTTCTAGTTTGGTTTGTCTTGCATTAGGTATATGGACATATGCTACATATCCAAACATTCTAAAGGGTTCAACTGAGGGCTTCACTCTACTCAATGCCTTTTCTATATATTCTAAAGGGT